AGCGGATCTTGGTGGCCTCACAGCAGCTACTCAGGGATAGACAGGGCACCCCCTTCCTGAAAGCTAACTCAGGGAAACAGGAGGCGTCAAACAGCTTCCTAACGAGCCTGTTCAGGGGACGAACGCCCAACCCTCAGGCCAGTGCCCGTACACCCAGATAATGCCGCCTGCGGGGAGGGGAAGCCCGGAGGGACTGGGAAGCCTTCCCCCAGGACAGTTATAAATAGTGTGGTGACAGGCAGAGGAAGGCACAGCTAAAAAGTTAGCTGTCCCCCTGTGGGTCACAAACGTTTGACTCATTGGCTGACTGTCCACAAAGATTATAAATAAGTTGGTCGCCATCCTGGGGGGTGAGAGCCTGTTTTCACACTGCCAGAAGTCGTTGGCCCTCCTTGGGGACAACACACTCAGTGTGACCTGTGACAATCAAATGTGGCCCTGGAGTCCCTTGGCAGCTGGCTCTCGGGCCAGTGGTCAAAGCCTTCACAGTCTTCTGCCTTCTGGAACTCTCCAGGTCATCCCCAGGGAGGGTCTGGGAAAGGAACCTGTCCTATTCCCACTCCCCGGCATGCCTGGGCCATGGACACCGTGCCCCAAGGGGTCCTCTCAAACACACGAGAACCTGCTCTGACAGCCACCTGCCATCCCCAAGGCACCTGGGCCTCGCAGGAACACAGTCATTCACCCCACAGCACCTGCTTCTACACCCGCAGGAACACAGTCATTCACCCCACAGCACCTGCTTCTGCACCGCCTTTTTGGAGACAGGGCAGGGCCGGGCAGGGACTGAGGTGCCACTGGGGCTGGGGAAGCGGCTCAATGGGAAAGTGTCTGTGTAGCATGCAAAAGGCCCTGGGTCGATCCCCAGCACCAAAAAGTAAAAAGAACGGGGTATCATTGACCATTCCAGATGGAGGCTAGGGGTGGACTCCCTGACCTCTGGGCGTTCAGCAAAAAGACAGGCAGCAAGTCGGCCCTGGCCTGAGGGGCACCATTCTCTCTGAAGAGTGAATGGCCAGGAGTTGACTCCTCTGGGCATGAGGAGAAGCCTGCCGTGGGTGGCCGCCAAGGTCAGAGGTGAGAAAGCAGCTCCTCATGGGAGCAGACAGGGCGCCAGCCAGCGCCTTCCCGTGGACGCCTCTGAGTGCTGCTGAGTTACCTGGGCAACGGACCCAGCAAAGGTGCAGGGAGGAGCCAGAGGCAGCGGGAAGGAAGGAGGGGCGGGACGCTGGTCGCCCAGGCAGGAGGGGCAGGGGGTGGCAGAGGATGGCTCTGCCTGAGACGGGAAACTCAGAAGAATCTTGAAATCGAGGGTGGGGAAGTGTTTGAGGTGGTACAGGACTAGTGACAAGTGCCCCCTGCTGCGCCAGAGTGTCCCAGCCTCCCACGAGACCACCCCACAGCCCTGGTGACTGGCTCCCTGGAGAGGGGCCACAGCCCCACCACCGTCAAGCTGGGGAGGGGGTGGGGGCCCACAACCCGAGGAGGAGGGGGAAGGCAGCAGGCCCCATCTCTAACTCTGGAGCCCGGGAGGAACACCAGCTCTAGAAGAAAATAAAGATCAATGAGAAGGACCCCACATCCTCTTTGCTCTGACGCTGATGGAGGAAGAGTGAGTATCACCAAGATCTCTCAACAGGATGTGGCCCTAAGCTGCAGAGAGGAAAGCCACTAATTGAAGGAAAGAAAGAAAGCAGAGTCCCCGCTGAGGTCAGGGGAAGCCCAGGACCTTTCGACTGCCAGGACCATCTCTCAGAAAGAGCAGCCGCCTGGTACCTGCGCCCTGCCTCCCTGCTCCAGGCGGAAACCCCAGCGCTCAGCAGAGCCGCCTGCCAGTGTCATCGCCTACGGCCTGTGAGGGTGGGAGCCCGGATCATTCCGTCCTGATTTGTCAACCTCCTCACTCACACTGGCTCCCCTTGGCATCGACTCTGAACACGCTCCGGGTACGTGCCGGGTTCCTCCTCAAGAGGCCAAGCCTTCCCCAGAGCAGACACCAGCCCAAGGCAGGCAGAAAAGCCACAGACCCAGAAAGAAAGGCCGAGAACGTCAGAACCCAGCGACCCGGGCACCAGGCACATCTCCAATCACTGAAGGCCTTTGAGAGGGAACCGCCACCAGAGATGCGAAATCACCCAACCTGACCGGGGTGCCCAAGTCACCCTGTCCATCCCCCTGCCTCACACCGGCCAGCCAAGCCAAGCATCACACACGCTCTGAAGCAAAATGGAGTGTCACTCCTCTGTCCCCAGGGCTACTGGAGTGACTCTAAGCTCTCCCATGGCGATTTTGCACCCTAACCCAAACACTCCTGTCCCAGAGCCCGTTCCTCCACGAAGCTGGGGGTGGGGGGAGCAGATGCTCACCTCCCCCAAAACAGACCCATGGTTAAAAGTGGTCTCTGGCCACAGTCAGCCCCCTCTAATAACTTCTCCCCTCCACTAACAAGTCTTGGTAACCACTGATTCTAGAGCCAGAGTGAGATGGATTTTTTAAAAATCTGTCCCTCTTCTTACCATCATCCCAAGAGGCCCCGTGTATGGAGCCGGCACTCGCTGAGTGCCTGACGCTCCTCTGACTCAGTCTCCCTCTTGACGGCTGGGCAATGGGTTCCAGGCCGCGCGACTGATCCAAGGTCACACCCTGGAGGTGGCCGACCCAGGACTCCGACCTTGATCTGATTCTTTGACACCATGCCACCGGCACCCAGGCAAGACAGGGATATCCCCCCCCTCCCCAGCTTGGGTCCACGGGGCCTGGCACACACAAGACGCCCAGAAAATAGTCGTCCCATAGGTGACTCAAAACAGGGGGATCCAGATGGAAGGACAGAGGGTAGGCAGGTTAAAGGAGCCCTGCCTGCCCCAATTCCAGCCCAAGGGTGCCCAAGAAGTAGCCTCCTCACCAGCGGAGGCAAGCAGGACCGTTGCCCTCTCTGTGCCACCACCAGTCAGAGGGTCAGTGACTTAGGAACAGAAGAAGCCAAGCACCGCAGGTCACTTCACCCTCGGTCACCCACAGCCTGCCTGCCCGGCTCTGGGGAAACCCCCTCCCTGAGCACGGCCACTGTCTTTGGGAAAAGCCGTTTCCACAAGGGTCACCTGTGTGGCCTCTTCCCCTCGGCCCCTGCCCTTGGGCCTTTATCGGTTGCCCCCCAGGAAGGCTGCTGACCCCCAGGGAATGACGGGAGGGACACAGGGCTTGGCCCCAGGTGGCTGCCAGCCCTGTCTCCGGAAGCAGAGCGCCCAGCAGGAGAGGTGACTCTGAGAAAGCAGTGAGCAGAGGGACCCGCAGACTCAGAGGCTTGTTTCAAGGAATGACTAAGTGAGCTGCGTTTCCAGGGGAAACCCCACTTGCTTCTCTGCTCACCGAGGGGCAGGAGCTATTTAGACTGAGCAGCTTCCCAGGGCTGCCCTCGGCTGGGGCTGCCCCCGCAGAGCAGGCGGGTCTGGGAAGACCCTCTCTCTGCCTGGGAGTCGACCCTCTGAATATTCAGGTTGCCCGACAGGTCTGCCCCACCGGATTCCAGAGTGGGCTAGCCCGCCCACCCCCGGTTAAAGTGACATGCTGGGAATGGGGGAAATCCGATCAGCACCTCCCAGGTTTTTGCGGCTGGATTTCAACAAGGAATGTGACAGTCTCGCAGCAGCTGTGCCCGGCCTGAAACCAGCTCTATTTGAATCCTCCAACAGCTGAACCCCTCCCAGCTACCCGCCAGCCAGCCCAGCCACCCCCTGCCCCAAATGACAATAAATAGAGAAATCCAAGCGACAAGCAGGCATAGGCACAAGTATCTGTCTCTCACACGCACGCACACGCGCGCGCGCACACACACCCACACCCCAACAGACTGGGGCTGAGGGGGTACCGTGGGAAGAAAGACACTTGTCCAGGGGTTCCCCAGGTCTCCGAGCCTTCCAGCCCACGGCAGAAGGGCTCCCTGGCAAGTAGAGCATCAGCGGAAACCCACCTTCCTCCATCTCCACTCCCCCTGCAAGGGAAGCCCCTTCCTCCGTCTTGGGGCTCGACCCGACCGAGAGGCTGCAGCGGTGGGGCCGGCACCCCCTGAAGCCAGTGCCTGCCGTCTCCACCCGGGCGCACTCACACATGCCCTCATCTTTATTTATCCCGAGGAGAAGGAGTTGGGGTGGGAGGGGAGAACCGGGGCTGTGCTGGGGGCGCTGGCTGGCGGGGACCGCTGGGGAAGCCTGTCATCCCATCCCAAGGAGAGGCGGTCCCCCCAGGCTGAAGCCAAGGCGGTGCCCATCTGCTCTGCCTGGGTAACACCTGTAGCCATTTTTATCAAGGGCTGTTTATGAGGCAGCAGCAGGTTTATCCTGAGTCCTCTTTCCTGAGGGAAGAGACTGCCGGTTTCCTCCGCCTGTATTTTTACCCCGATGCCCTGGGGAGACTCTGGTCACCCGGTGCTTTCCTATTTTGCCCCGAGCCTCTTGGGGGAAGAGGAGGGAAATAGAAACTTGGGAAGAGAAGGAGAATAGAAGGGACTTGGGCAGTGGGTACAGAATCCCCCACCCCCACCCAGACATTTATTTCTTTTTTATCCTGGGGAAAATGGAGTGGAGCAGGGAGGGGAGGAGAGGAGGGGAAGTCGCAGGAACTGGCAAACACATCAAGGCAGAGTGTAATTAATTGGTGCGTTAAGCTGCTGGGTTATGCTTTAGTACAAGTGAGCCAGGAGGAAAAACGATTTCTCAGAAGGGATTCTTTAATCCTCCCTAACACGGAGTCTGCAAATTAGACACAGTGTATGGGGATGTCCCCCCCAAAAGGAAGTGAGGAATGAATTCTCCCAGGATCAAGAAGGAAAACCATGGGAAGTTAGAGTGTTCCATATAACTGAGCTAATGCCTCTCCCACCACCACCTTTCTCTCTCTCATTCTCTCTCTCTCTCTCTCTCTCTCTCTCTCTCTCTCTCTCTCTCTCTCTCTCCCTACATATTCCTTTTGTTCAAGGTATAAAGAGAAACCACAGCCCCTACCTTTGAGTACAAACCCCAAGACAGCTCGGTCTCTATCACCATAACAACAATTCCAAACATCCCAAAAATCAGAGCATAGTCACTCAGTCGCTTTCTCTTTTCAAACAGGGCCCTCCTGTGTCCCAGCTTATAGCCAATGTTTTGGTTTTTCCGCTTGTTGGCTTTGGGGAAGGTGGTGCCGCTGGCAGTGGTGCCGGCATGCTGGTGGTTGTGGGTAGCGTTGGGGTGATGGAGCAGGGTCTGGTGGGCATGATTGTCCTCCCGGGAGGAGATGACGATCTCCGGGGGGTTGCTGGGGCTGAAAAGCTGGAGGGGTTGGCCCTCGGGCTCGGCCTCAATGAGGTTCCTCCGGGAGGCGCTGAGGCGGCTGAGGGGCTTCATGACCCCACCGCTGTACTTGCAGGAGCTCATGGCGATCTCTGTGAAGGGGTTGCTGTCCCGCCGGTGGACCAGGGGGCTGGCCTGCCGGTGCCGGCTACCTCCTCCAGGCCCACTTGTGGCTGTGGAACTTGGAGAGTGGCCAAGCAAGTGGTCATTGAGATTGAGCTGGCTGCCTTGCCTGGAGGAAGGGTGGAGGATGGCCGTGGAGTTGGACGAAGGGGGGGCCCTGAAAGCAGTGGGAGGGGAGTGCAGCAGGCCAGGGTGGACAAGCTGGCTCTGGAGTTGGGCGAGCTGAGACAGGGGATGCGGTGGCTGCTGCTGCTGCTGCTGCTGCTGCTGAATCTGCGGAGGCTGAGGCTGAGGCTGCAACGAGGGTCCTGGGGGCTGCTGGGGGGCTGCTGGGGCCGCTGGCTGCTGCTGCTGCTGCTGCTGCTGCTGCTGCTCATCCCCAGAGGATGGACAGGGGCACTTGGGGTCTTCATCCAGGTCCCCCACCCCGGAGTCATGGAAGTGCCCAGAAGTGTCCATCTTGGGGCCTGGCTGGATTCCCTGCAGCACAATCCCCCACCCCAAAGCCACCCTCGCTCCAAAGATGTCCTCAAAGAAAGCCAGGCATCCAAGCTCCCCCACCAGAGTGTCTTGGCTCCAGTCCTCTCTTTGGCTTGCTTCGGTTCTCTGGGGCTGCCTGGGGTCCAGACGCTGCCTCTCAAGAATGCATTGTATTGGGCAGTGAGGAAGGGCAGCAGGGGAGCCTGGAGAAGGAAGGAGCGGGCAAAGAACTCTCGCTCAGGAGGTGGTCCTCTAGGAGCGCGTGAGGCCAGGCTGAGCTGCACTCCTCGCTGGCTCGGTAGCTTCGCTTTCCTCCTCCTGCCACTGTTATACTGGAAGCCAAGCCCACTTCTTAGCAGCTGGTCTCATTGGCTCGGCTCAACTCTCCAACCGCCTCCTAACTCCGCCCCCCTCCCAGGCTCCGCCCCGAAGGAGGGGCCTGCGGTCCTAGGCTCCCGGCCGGGCCGCAGCGCAGCGAGGGCTGGGAACTGTAGTTTTTGCTCCACGACCCTGGAGCCGAGCCGCTGCCGCCCTCTTTCCAGTGACAGGTATGGCCGAAGCCCGCAAACCCACGGTGACCAGGGTTGTTAAGCTCCCGCGGGGACAGTGGGAAGGAGGGACAGAGGGACTCCTCAGGAGGGGCACTGTCACCATGATGAGGGGCAAGAAGCTCAGGAAGACAGACACTTATTAAGGCACAGATTGTTTCGCACATCTTATTCCAGGTACATCCTCCCCACACCCAAGGAGGCGGGCATTATGTCCCCATTTTACCCAGGAGAAAACTGATGCTCGAAGCTGTTGAGTGGCCGCGTCAAGGTCACAGAAGCAGAGGGAATTCACTCCCTCTTACTGTGGATAAACTCACCTACCACTGATGGAGCTCCGGGGACGTATGTGCACCCCCTCTCTGTCATTTCCAACCCCTACATCAACCCCATGAAAATGATGTCATCATTCTCCCTTTACAAATGGAAACCGTTGGGAGAAAGAAAGGGTGGAGAACATTCAAGCACAAATTAAAAAACTTGCCAGATGTCATTCAGCTTGTCATTAAAGACGCTAGGATTCTGAACTTGGGTCAGCCTGACACTCCAGTTCTCAAAGTGATTGTTCAACAAACGTTGTTCACATGACGGATGAGAACGAGCCAGAGAGAATCCGTCCAGGAAGAACCAGCTTCTCCAAAGCAGGATATGTGAGGCGCACAGCACAACGGCTCCAGCCTCTTCCCTAGCAGCTGGGCATGGAGTCACTAGAGGATCTGGCAGAAAGACTGGAGACGCCCCGTGGTCACCCCCTGCCTGATTTTCCCCATGGGGCTCTGAGAGTTGGAGCTGGGAACAGCTGCTAGCTTCCCAGGTTCAGAATCATCATCATCAAGTATTTATTAAGCTCCCACTGTGTGCACAGGGGGTTCAGAAGGGATGGGACCAGAGCTGAATTTATTTCCATTTTAAACTGCAACCGACTTAGGGATTAGAGAGAAAGACACTGTTATGGAATCCCCCAAGCACACCTGGGGTCTGAAGACATCTGGGCTGCAGGTGTAGCTGAGTGGTAAAGTGCTTGCCTCGTAGGTACCAGCCCCTGGATTTGATCCCCAGCATCACAAAGGATAAAAAATTAAAAAGGAGGGGAGGCCTCTTCCTGTCTGCTTTCTGGTTCCCCATCACCCTTTGGCTTCTGTTCACTCCTTCCCTAGAGGAGAAGAGGGAGAGTGAGAGATGCAGGCGCGCGCGCACGCACACACACGCACACACACACACACACACACACACACACACACACATACACACGGAAACACACAGGCATGCACACACTGCCCTGTGCACACACAGATGCACACACATAGTGAGCTTTGAAATCAGCTCTCTTGAATAGTGAGCAGCAAGTGACCAGGTCAGGAAGGGGCAGAGTTTCCACCCAACAAGCCCAGAGGCCCCTCACCTCTCCAGTCCCTGATCTGCCGTGAAAACAGAGCTGCATATCACTATAAGCCACACCCCCAGACACCTGGACAACTAAAATTTTCTTCCACAATAATCTTGATTATTATCATATTATCAGTGATGTGGTCACACACACACACACACACACACACACACGGAGTCATTGCACCAGGGGACAGATGCACACCTGGGGTCTCCTGGGTTTTCCCGTGGCTGTGCGGAGCCCCTGATATCTTCCACCACTCCCCCTGCAGGGAGCCCTGCCTGCCCTCCTCCTCCTGTGTGTCTTCTTGATTTCTGTCCCTCTCTCTCATCCCCAAACAGAGCCACCTGTTTGGTTCAAGGCTCCAGATCACTTGTTTAGTTTTAATGATTTCCTAATAAATCACCATTAATATGGTGTCAGTAACTGAAACGTGCTGTTAGTATTGGCTTTTAATACCTGATACAACTTCCAGACTGTGAAAAAATCAATTAAGGGGGCAGACCCCTGGCATTTCTGTGCCCACTCCACCTCATGGGCTACCTTCTGCCTAGGCTCACCTTTCCGAGCCAGCCTCCTGACCCTATTCCCTGTCTGTTCCTGTGAGAGCATGTCCTGCCGTCATGGACAGGGGTGAGAAACAGCCTTGGTAAGTCCAAGCTCCCCAGAGCTGAAGGCAGAGTTCATCTGGGAAAGGACATTACCAAGGCAGCTCCCCACCCCACCACCCCCGGTTAGATCTACCCCATCCTAAACAGGAGGCGGACAAGGTCATGGTGAGAGACGGGGCTCCAGAGTCAGACTTTCCAGTCTGGAGCCTTTGCCTGCCACAGGATGTCTACATAGCCACGGCAAGATGACCTCTGGTCCTCAGCTTCCTCTCTGTCACACAGAAGTGATAAGGGTCCTTACTCATGGCGTTTAGGAGAATGTTAGAGGTGAGTCACTAGTGGGGGGGGCTATGCCATAGGTGGCAGCCCTGAACCCCTCAGGGTGTCCTGCAGCTGGCCAGGACTGGCTCTTAAAAGATCATTGTGCCCATTTCTTCCCGGCTCCGTGTTCAGCGGTGTCACATCTGTGTCTTGAAATCAGTCGTGATGGGAGCTATTTTCACCACAGACACCAGCAAACATGTAAATCAGGGCTGGCTTTGTCCTGGAGAGGAGTTGAGTCTTGATGGCTGTTAAGCCGATCCAGAGCACCCAAACTGCTCCCAGCCCCGTCCTAGGTCCAGACTGCACCCCCCACCCTCTTCCAGAGACCAGGCTTTGCTCCCCTGCTGCCCTCTGTCTAGTTCCAGCTGTGCCCCTGGCTCACTGTGTGACCCTGAGCCACTAGTCTAGACTCTCGGCTCCAGTGACGCAAACCTGACGGCGAACACCCACGGGTCAGTGAACCAGCAGGGAGCTGCCCCAGCCCAGGGCCTCTCCGAGCAGCCTTTCTGGTCTGCCCTTCCAATGCACAGCGCTCAGATGTCTTCCACCACTGCTGCCTGTCCAAGTCCCCCAGGTCGGGAAGTCCCCTGCTCTTGCCTTGATCCCCAACTACAACCGCGTCCTCACAACAACCCGTGAGCTGGGGTCATTGCTCATTTTATAGATGAGAAAATAGAAGTATTGACGGGTTTTAAAACTTGGCCCCTGTTACTAACAACTAGTGGCATTGCTGGGATCAAACCCAGGCGCTCCAACCCCCAAATCCAAGCACTTGACATGGGTTTTGAATCCCAAATTTTTAAGATTCAGCCAACCCTCAGCTTATGGCCTCACTGAAGAAACAAGTTATGTGCCTCTGCGGGTGACAGAGAACAACAAATCAGACCACAAAATACGGCTGTGACACTAGAGGTCACTGAGGGCAGAGGAGAGCCCAGGGAGGCTTTATGGAGATGGCGGCCAGGCCTTGAAGGATGAGCAGTGACCCTTCACACTGACCTAAAATGAAAGGTGGACGCATTGGGGCCTCTCTAGTCTGCAACTATGGCGGTCAGGGGTGTGGCGGAATTTCTTACCTCAAGAATACCCGGAGAGTAAGCAAGGACATGTCCACCAGACCCAGGAAGACCAGCTCCACCTCAGGCGTCCTGGGCCCTGCCCTCCTTTCCGACAGCCTCCCTCACCACCTCCTGAAGACCGGCATCACCAGCCTCTGGGAGCTGACCACATCTCCACGTGGCTCACGCCATTCCCCCGACGTGCTCTTCCCACATCCACACTAACACATTTCCCTTTGCCCTTGAAGACACGGATCAAGGTCTTCTTCCTCAGACGCCTCCCCTGAGCTCCGAGTCGGGGACCTCACTCTCCCTGTCTATTCGATCTCTGAGAAGCGGTACATCTCATGTCGTTGGTGTCCTCTCCCCAGATGGTGACCTCCTTGAGGGCAGGATTGATGGCTTCTTCAGGCCCGTGTCTGCAGCTCTTCCCCAGAACCAGGTGCACAGAGACCCACCGTACTGACTCAACTGGAAACTGGGGAGAGTTCATTTGGAGGTAAATAAAAGGAGGTCGCAGCACTTTTCACAACAAATGACAAGTACCATTTCCCTGTCAGTAAAACAAGTGAGATAGAAGAGATGATTCCCAAGATCATTCAGCTTTAAAATTCCATAATCTGTGCTCTATGGATGTTTTTTATCCCTAAAAAGTAGAACTAACTGGAAAGTGAAGATTCGGAGTTTATCTGGCTGTCTTTCCCCCAAGTGTGTACCTCTTGAGAGCAGAAGGAGTCTAATTTCGTTCTGTATCCCCAGCACTGAGCAGGGTGCCTAGCCATGAATACACTCACTAAAGGTTTATTAGAGGAATGGACGGATGGATGATAGAGGATGGATGGATGGATGGATGGATGGATGGATGGACGGATGGATGGCTCATGAATGCAGGGGTGGGCCAATGGATAGATGGATGATGAATGGGCAGATGGGTGGACGATGGAAGGATGGATGCACAGATGGATGACGAGTAGATGGATGGATGTTGGATACAATGACAGATAATTGTGCGTGTTCTATAAAAGCCAGTGGTTGGCGAGATGTCCTTGGCCTTCTGCAGACAGTGTCATAAAGATCAACCCCACTTTCCCCAGACCTTGTACACGTAAGTCAGAGACAGCCCTGGGCTGAACGGCACGTGGGCTCCCCCAGATTCAATCATTGTTCTGCCCTTACCAAGGAACTTTGTTGCTCGAATGGTACAAACCACTGTATTGGCCCAGCACTTCATAGTTTTCCAACGACTTTCACATAAATCACTTCCGCTGCACCTCCCAGCAGGCCTGGAAGGCAGGGGGCTCTGTTGCTGTCACCCCCTTCAAGTGAAGTTTAGAAAGTCCAAGTCATGCATTCAGTGTCACCTTTTAGCCCTGAACTTGAACCGGGGTCTCCTTCCTTCTCCCTGGAATGCCTTCCCAAT